TTAATATAATAATTTTTTTCCTGCTTAATTTTTTCTCAATTGAAATTATAAGTAAGGCAGAATGACATTTAAAAGTGTGTCGCCGTTTATCGCATCCTAAACACCAGATACTCCAATTTTCATTTTCTCGCAAGTCTCCTCCGTTCCTAGCTTTGCATCATTAAAGCATTTTTTTTGTAACCTTCCATCCTTGCATGTGACTACCACGATAATTGTTTTTCTTCTATCCTGTCCGCTACTTTTTTTCAACTTATAAACGGCCCTTATGGTCTCCGTACTAACCTGGTCCAACAGCGTAACTCCATAGCACCTCCTCTCCAGTGCTCTGAAAATTTAATTTTCCCATAAGATTTTTGGTTCGGATATTCAAATTTCTTAGCCATAAGTTGATGTCCTTTGTACCAAAGAGCTGAACATTTTCAGTTTTGTGGGATTTGTTATGTTCTTACAATATAAACCTCACTGAATTTTCCCGTTATTGATCGTCCCCTTGCAATTTTTTTTATGATGTGGTCCTTATGGCTCACACCTGGATAGTTATATTCTTCCGTTTTCTTTGTTGTTTGTCAATTTATTTTTGGATCTTGCCGTTCTTCTTCGATCACACTGTGCTTTCGTATGATCCAAGACAACCGAGTTTTCAGCGTATAGCAAAGTAAAGATAACCCCCTCTCCAATTTACACCCTGCCTCAGCCCTCATTGATTTCATTTGAATCCGATACCCTGAAGCTATAGCCATGCAGATCTGCATTGATGTATTGATCGCTAATATCATTTACAGTCAAAACCGTCCACATCCGTTTCGTAGGTACACTATCATGGGCTTTGCTGAGCTTTATACGAATATCAGTTGCAGCTTAGATAGAAAATTTGTAGATAAATAACCAAATGAGCGTTATAGGATAATTTTTGGTGTATGTTGCATGTAGCAGTGCAGTCTAGGCATTTTCTTTTTCGGGTTAGGTGGGAATTAGGTTAAGTAAGAAGTATCAACATGATAAAAACCATTTAATAATAATAAAAATAAATAGCCTTTACTAAAAAAATGGAAGATACCTGTAAAATCGGAAGAGATAAAAAACAAACCTCACTCAGGCAGCAACTAGCAGATGATCTTTGCACATTTCTTTAAATGCATTTAAATTAAAGTTAGTGCATTCCTGTGACATAGGATTGCAGAAACGAATTGCGTCGAATGTTTGCAGGACGGATGGTATTTCTAGGAATAAGTCGTCCTTATACCAAAATCGATGAATTTAGATTATGTAAAATTTTCGTGACGAGTAGAGTTGAGCAGAGGTCTACAGCAATGAAGTTGACAATTTGGAGAAGATTCATGGTTATATTTTCGGAGACCATAATAAAACGTACAGAAACATTCTGCGACCTCTAAATACGGCATCTAGACCCACCATCGATAAAAAAGAACATAAATCACATAATAGTAGTTAAAATGTGAGAGAACATAATTTTTTCGTTATTTTAAAATTTGAAATATGCCTCTAACTATATAAAATTATTAGTGACATGTGTGCCTTTTGAAACGCATTTTTTAAATGGTCTCCAAATCTTATAAGTATATGATAACGGAAAGTTTAGTGTTATCTAACATCATTTTAATATTTTGCTTTGGGAGCTTAACTTTATTTATATTTCTCAATTTCATTAAATGAGATTTTAATGGCTTTAACTGTAAACCATGGGCACGCCAAAGTTCACTAATCATGGTAAGATCATGGTTTATAAACATCTCTGCATCAGCTGTATCATTAAAATTAGGAGTGGATAAAAAAATGAGTCTTCTTGCTAACACTAAATTTATACGTTCATATGGGACCAAAGCATGTATCAAAATTATCTATGAATTCAGCTCTCTATAACGTTAATTTTGGTTGAACGCGCGTTATCTTATTCCATTTTACACTCTCACAGAAAAATTAAATACAATGAATATTAAAATATCATATTAGTGTGCAAAATAAACTAACTAGAAGGTTATTTTAATATACTGAGTGCCAAACTTAGTTTTTAAATCGCGTCTTGCCTAAAGCCAGGCGCTGACAAGTCTTGAAATTCCGAGAAGGTGTATTCGCGATGACCTCATTGGGACGCTTTTATTTGCTGTGAATTCATAGTGTGCGTTTGTGTGTTATTTTTAAAATAAAATATTAGAATAAGCCAAAATTTTGCAAAGTACTCGAGAATGCTTCTTATGAGTATAGTTAATTTATTTTTAATTTAATATTTATTCCAAACATGTGGTAATATACAGGGTGATTGCATTTGAAATTTCAATGTTTTTGCTGGCCTAATATAGATGTGCCAACGCTGAACTTATAATCATATTTTTTAAATACAGATAGATCAATAGAATAAATCGAATTTATTAGTTCATCTAAACTTTTAATAAGACGCTCACCAAATGACCAACCAACCATCTCCAAATGACCAACTTTCAAATGTCTTCATTTCGTAAGAAGATAGTTATAGGATACCTTACTTGAAACTTTTCGACAATTTTCTGGATAATGCAAAAATTCGATAACATACAGGGTGTTTTATTTAAAAAATTAACCTCGTGGTTTATGTATTTATTTTCGTGACGGATATTTTTTTATTGCATTTTTTAATTATTATGTCGATTGGCTATTTTGAATTTTCGTAACAATACACGGAAGATTAAAAGTAAGCCCCTGTTCAATTTACGCTGAATCACCCTGTATTCCTGTTTGAAGTATCGTTTGGTTTATGAATGAATGATAATAATAATAAATAAAAGTCAGTAAAAATCAATTTCTTCATTTATTTATGGATAAACCATTTCCAAACAATATGAAAAATATATAAGTTGCGGCTGAAGCTACTTTGTTCATTTACTTGTTTATTGTTTGAAACCTCTTAAATGCATAATTTTAACAATAACAATTCGTTGTAAAGATTCGATAATATTGTAGGAGCATAAATGACTCATGCCCGTATGCACCCTAAGTCTAACCGGGTTTAATCTATAGTTTTACATTTATATCATTTTTTACATATCAGTTTTTAGCTTATTATTATGAATTATTTTAATACACTCGCGTATAACCCATGAATTAGAAAACACATTTCAGAAATGTAGTGTTTACAATTTACACTAATGGATTAATACACCTTAATGAGTCTAATCCTATGTGAACCACCTTTGTTTGTTTATGTATATAAAAATGTTTTTTTTTAAACTCCAATAAAAGGTAAGTTAACTGAGTTTCTGCTGGTATTGATTACGTCTGATGACTGAGCTGAGGCAACCTGGTGAAAAGACGATTCCGTTCTTTTCACTCATTTTCCGTGCTACAGCACTACTAACGTATAACTACTGAATGCTGCACGTATGCTATGATGTTCTGGGATAGGCCAATTATAATTATCATTATTACTTAACCTGTAAAACTTTCTATATCTTGCTCCTTGATTTTGGCCTTATTTAGATTGAGTAACAACACTCTTCATATTCCCTTATAAATGAGTTTTTTTTTTGTTAAACCAAGCCAAAACGTTCTTTCCATTCATTTGAGGTTTTCAATTGTTTGTCCTATTATATTTAAGCTAATTCGGATTCTGTATATCTCGTTATATATGTAGTTGCATGAGAAATATTTCATTTATTCTTATGCACAAACATATTTCATTCACATATGGATAGGATTTGTCAAAAATCATATTACAAATTAAAATTAAAAAAAAAAATTCCACTATTTTTAAAATATTAAAAAATCCTCCGAACGAATCAGCTCCGCGAAAATATTCACTTTTACCAATTTCTTGGAGTAAATGTTATATTCGTATGTTTAAAATTACAACAGCAAATAATTTCCTTAGAATTGCGACAATGCGCGTACGATAGTCCAATGGTCCTCATTAGCCTCGCACCACCACCATTTCATCGACCAAATGAATTACCATCTCGACGCGTTCCCAAAAAAAAATCATCCGGATCAGGAGGCGATCTCTAAGCATCTGCCTGCCGTCTGCCAATACGGACTGTGGAGGGCGGCCTCGCAGGCGGGGCATCGACTCGATTCGCACCAATCCGCACAGTTTAAACGCTAGCGGACAACCGATACTCTTCCACACCGATGTTCTTTTCTGCTCCCCTGCTTACCAGGTTTCGTTTCGTTTCAAATGTTATTCAACTGTTTTGTTGTTGCCATGCGATAGGCAGCGACCTCTGCGGCGTCGCGATACCTCTTCGGTTGCTGTTCAATCGCCTTGGCCTCGATCGAAGCCGTTCATTTGTTTTTTATGTTAATTATTACGCCTGGATGGAAGGCCCCGCGACTTATTCGACTAGCAACAAATTTTCTAACATTTTTCGCAACGAAAATGGAAACAGGACCTATGGTTAGGGGGAAACAGCCGGCGTGACTCACCCCCCCTTACGGAAAGGGGGCGCGTGCCCTTCCGTTCATTTTTAATCTCACCGGAACGCAGATTGAATTGGATCTTGTCATAGGAGGGGGGAGAAATTTTATCCCATTGCACTTCAGGGTTGGGACGGTGATAAATAAATAAGGTTCTGCTTATGTCGTCGTCAGCTAAAAAATTTCAGAAGTATTTTTTAGCCCCGAGAGGTTGAGTTTTATTTTTATTTCGTTTGCTGTTACTGTCCTATCGTCTGCCAGCTGGATTTCCATTGCCAAGCGGGTGATTTTCAGGAAAACTTCTCTAATTATATACCGGATAACTTTTAACTTTGATCAAACTGATATTATCAATATCCCCACCAACAAATGGTACAGTAGATGTTAGTGCCGACATCTAACGGACGGTAGGCCAAGTTTTTATAGCGAAACAACTTGCTGGGGGATAGATCAATACAGAACAAGTCTGTTTGGCGCTAGAGGACGACACGGGTAAACCTGTTAAAATCACATGCATTCAAGAATCTGATAATAAAATTATATTTTTAACACCTACCTAAACATTTTACATTACATATAAATAGCAATTCAACGATTGTACCGATTTTTCCTTGTACCATTGCCCAAAGTGCAGTTAATCGAAAATAAGATGAAAAAGATTTCGGAGTGGTGTATAAACGGTTTAACTATGATTCAATGCTTTTCATATTCCGTATTAGTACGTTATTTATTCCTGATAACAGGTTAGGATTCATTTAAAAACCATATGTGGCGGAAAATAAGCAAGATGAATTAGTGGTGGCAGCTATAGAGCTCTGTGGTGACCGGCTGTGACAGATTACGTATTTATTTACCGAAAAACTTAAGTACCTGAAACCCTAATCAAAAATCCGGACATGTCCGTATTTTCTTTATTTAACGTTGTTGCTATCTGCGCTCTAGTTTCTTTATGTTTCGAAAATTCCTCGGCCGATGAACTAAACGGCGTAGTTGTGGTAAGTTTGAAAGAATTTTCGATTGCGGAGTTTCTAGTGTAGTTTCAGGTTTTTAGACATGGAGATAGAACTCCCATCAGGCCATATCCAACTGATCCTTATGGAAACCGATCGCTTTGGCCTGTGGATTACGGAATGCTAACAAATGTAAGTTAGTTCAATTTAGTATACCGAGTTTGAATGAATTTACTAGCCAAGTCATAAAAAATTTGAAATTTAGAGATAAGGTACGGCTACACATAACTTAGTTGAACAGTACTTACATTTTTTTCGAAAATATATGGTTTTAAATCCTTAAAATGTCAAATGAACTTTTGTAACTGACACACTGAAAAACAGGACATCATTCCTAATTTCAAAAGTTATAATAAAACAATATGACTATATTGTATTACAAAATACAAAAGGCAAAGTCAAGTTACACTTCCTTCCCTAACCTTAACTTTGATTATTTGTTAATTTTCAGTTAGTTAAGCTCCTACAAAATATCTTGACATTTTTAACAAAAATAATTCACTTTATTCCAAGACAGGTTTTTAATATACGTTTAGCTTGGAGTTTTAGGTGATTGTTGGATAATTTTTTTTTTCATGGGCCATTAAACTCTGCTTTTTGTTGAAAATTTCAACAATATACGCTTACGCCCATAATTCCAGGATATTATCTAGGTATCTAGGATAGGCAATAATGGCCAGGTAATGTGGCAGACCTGACACCATTAGACTTTTTTCACGGAGCCACATTAAAGAAATCTTATCTTATATCTTAATCACTACAATAAAAATGGAAATATGTTTGCGCCAATTCAAAGAACGTATTATATCGTGTTTGAATGCATATGGTTAACATTTTTTTGGAATTTAATTTATGACAGTTTTATATCATTTGTACTTATTGTACGCTAGTAGCAGTTAGCTAGTTCGCGTTTTATAATTTATAATTTATTATTTACTTACAATATAATTTATTAATTATTTCTCCAAAGCACATATTAAAAATATGTCTGTGGAATGTGTTTATTTTATATTTGTTACTGTCAATGTTTTTTTTGAACATTTTTCATTCACCTAATAACATACACTTTATTGTATAATTTATTCTAAATTGAACACAAAATAATAAAAATGGGGCTTTCCATTGGAGTTTTTTGCATAAAACTAAGATAAACTCGAATTTTCAGTGACTTCCGGTAAAAGCGAAAGTGTTTTTTCTTATCAAACGGGTTTCTATAAAAATTACTTATCTATCAATTTTTTAGTTAATGTATGTTTTTTATTATTTAAATTGACTGAGGAAAAATTGCAGTGAAATTTTTGAAGTCCGCTATCTCCAAAACTATTACAGCTATCGGTCTATTTGATCTTACCCATCGAATACTAAGATTGGAAAATATACAGGGTATTTTATTTCAATTTAAAAAAGTTGATCTCAGTTCCGGTGAGGTTGCTATTCAATGGTTTTATATATCAAAGTGTAGCCATGTCGTTGACGCTCTCGGTATACTATGTCCTTCGAAAAGATAAAATAACGCCTGTCATTTATTTACATAGATTGGCAAAATGAATCATTTCAAACTGGGCCAATGGTTGCGTCAGCGATATAGTCAGTTTTTGCCTGAAGTGTACTCCGAAAGGGACATCTATGTACGATCGACCGATGTTGACAGGACTCTCATGTCTGCCTCGGCGAATCTTGCCGGGTTATACCCCCCTGTTAAGACTGATATATGGAACCCGGACCTGCAGTGGCAGCCGATCCCGATTCACACCATTCCAGAGAGCATGGACCCAGTACTGGCCGCTAAAAAAGAGTGCCCAAAATTCAACCGCTTGGAAAAAGAGTTATTTAAAACACAGTACTTTAAAAACCTCTCTCATCAGCTACACGATCTGTACGCTTACGTTACCAAATACTCGGGGGATTCTATACACGATTTAAAATCTCTCGAGTATCTATACAGCACGCTGTTCATCGAAAGCAATTACAATTTCACATTGCCGGAATGGGCAAAGGGAGTATTTCCTGATAAACTAAAGCCGTGGGCTTCGCTTAGCTTCGTGGTCCCTACTTGGACTGAAGAAATGGCTCGATTAAAGACGGGGCCGTTTTTCAATGAGCTTATTGGATATTTTAGGAATCGCACACAAAAGTGAGTACTTGTATGTAGAAAACAGAGCATCGTAGTAGTAGTTTTTGGGTTATTTTAAATAATAGGTACTTCTAGTTATTAATAATGTTTGTCCATATAGTGTATAACGTAAGTATATAAACAGGACATTGGTGAATAACCGTCAGACTGTGTTAGGACTGACATAACATCTCTCCTTTCAAGCCAAAAAATTTAAACATTTTGCAAATTAAAATTTATAACTTAATGTTTTAAATATTGAGTTTTTGCCTCCCTAGGTCTAGGAAGATTTGAATTCATTTATGAATGACACTGTTAACCTGAGATTGGAAACCATCGGATGATTCATTTAGTTTAAGTTATAATTTGTCAAATTTTGGTTTTTGGGCAAGATTTATGTGACTAATGCCAATTGTTTTAGCATAAAATTTTTTTTTATAGTTTAACATTGGCAACATTGGAGGAAAAGATCTAATAATTTTACAATATAGTAAATTCCGCCGGTGAAAAACTACTTTCTAAGGGGGTAGTTTTATAGGCTTTATGAATGACACACACATTAACCTATAAATCTGTTCAATTGATTATCTGAGCGTACAATTCCAGAAATACCGTGTCTAGAAAAAACTTGTTTAGTTTTTAGATTATTACTAATTCTGTAGTTTTACAAATCATGAAAATTTCCAGTCATTGGTTAGTATTTGCGTAGATAAATCTAGCCAATGTGCGTTACGGAAATGTCTGAATAAATTTTAAAATTTGTATTTATAATGTTTGGGGTATATCCGATATAATTCGATTACTTCTATGTAAGAGATTTTCAGGGAACGAAAACTCGTAACGGTATTGATACAAGTCAGGGCTTAATTTATTTTTGGTATACTTTTAAATTTCTAGAAGCAACGAATCTTAATTTTGTTCAGCTTTAATTTGTTCCGAAAACTATAATTTCGCCGGAATCGAATTTATTATGCTATGCTATTGATTGATAAGTCTTTCTCCGGTGTATAAAATATAAAATATTTTATAATTATAGCGCATTAAGCGAATCCTAAATGGTTGTAATCAAGAGGTTATTTCCTCAACATGCTTTGTCTTTAATGCGGGTCGACAATTAGTTTTTAGCATATACCTAGCAGTGAACATATTTTCGTAGAGATGGGAATATTCCTCCGAGTAAGCGCTTACATTTCACCTACTAACCTGCACTTTGGGTCTTTTTTTAAAAAACAGCCATACCCACATGTTTAGCTCCTTTGTGACTGAAGATTTAATAAGATCTGGGCATACTTTGAGAAAATACTGCCGTAAAAATACCACATAGTTCTTAAGTTCCTGCATTTGGTAGGGCCTCTATATCTTTAGTATGCTATATGGTTTCTAGTAAAACAGACCAATTGAAGCAAGTTTAGGCGCCTAGTTGCCACCATGTTCTCTTAAACAATGGATGCTTCTAGATATTAGTAATTTTTGTCGATTTTGAACAATTCAGTATATAATGTAGTTGATATATCCGTGTTTGGGAAAGATTTGTTTTTGATGTCTGACACCAATAAGTCATTACTACTAAATTTAAGGCTGACATAACGCAAAATAGACACTTAAACTTTTTGTGGTCAGATTAAACGATTAATGTGTTTCCTTCTACATATTTTTTCCAGGAATGTTCAGTATTACGCCCCCAAGTTCCTTATGTATTCCGCTCACGATACCACAATCGCCAATCTTCTGAACACCATGGAAGCGTTCGAACCACACCCACCACCCTACACGGCCACCATAATTTTTGAGTTGTGGAGGACGCAAAATGGAACCGACTTCGTCCAAACTTTTTACAAAAACACCACCGAACCTCGACAATTTGCAGCCAAAGGCTGCAATTTAAATTGCTTGTTGCCAGATTTTGAATCGAAGTTAAAGAGCATTTCTATCCCTCTAGACCAATGGGAGTCAGAATGCCAAAGCGGTTGGCCCTTCATTTATTATCTGATGCTCGGTGGAATGGTCTCAACCATTTTGTGCATTTCCTGCATAGTCAGCCTAGCCGTTTATCGATTGAAACGCAAAAGTGAGCTTTACATGCAGCTACCAAACGAGGAGTATTACGCTTGAAGGCCTGAGGGGAGAAGGAGAAATATGCCCTCTTTACCCTTCTCAAGCTATATTTAATAGTCAAACTGGGCATATCTTATTTGTGTTCTACTCTATAATGCATTGTATCATCTATTCTTTCTTTTTTATTCTTATTATTGGTCTGGCACCAAAGAATTTTTGTCTATGTATCCCAAAAAAATAATTTTGTGATCTATTTTCAAACTAAACTAAACGAAGGAGTCGAAACACTCGTGCCAGTATTAGGTTTACTGATTGTCTAAAGCCAGGGATTTTTCAGGATGAAAATGACTTGTTTATCGTTTTAAGGATCTCAAAATGGCAGTGAAGATTTTGAATAAAGACTATGGGTATCAAATTTAGAAGTTTTTATTTATCATTTTTAGCTAAGTGTCATTTATTTTTAAATTACCTAAAATAAATAGCCACCAGTCTTGCCGTTAATTAAAATCAACGTCACAATGCGGACGCGATTTATTTGAACTACTAAGCAAATAGAAAAAGCAATTACAATTTTTACTTTCACAATAAATAAAAAATTAAATTAATCCCTTTCTTCTGGACTTTTGTAAGGATAATCAATTACATCAAAAATACACTTTTCTGATAATATTCCCACTGCGGCCTGTGAATCCCAAAGACCTTTTTCTATTTGCGTAGGTAAATCTAGCCAATACACAATACTTTGCTCGATTTTTAAATTTTGCGTTACCGAAATGTCTGAATAAATTTTAAAATGTGTATTTATAATATTTGGGGTATATCGAATATCCGATATAATTCGATTACTTCTAAGTAAGAGAGTTTCAGAGAACGAAAATTCGTAACCGTATTGATACAAGTCATGGCTTAATTTATGTTTGGTATACTTTTAAATTTCTAGAAGCAACGAATCTTAATTTTATTTAGCTTTAATTTGCTCCGAAAACTATAATTTCGCAGGAATCGAATTTATTATGCTATGCTATTGATTGATGTCTTTCTCCGGTGTATAAAATATTTTATACACTAATATAATACGGGTCGACAATTAGTTTTTAGCATATAGCTAGCAGTGAATATATTTTCTTAGAATTGGGAATATTTCTCGGAGCATGCGCTTAAATTTCACCCATTAACCTGCACTTTGGGTCTTTTTTTTTAAACAGCCATACCCACAAGTTTAGCTCATTTGTGACTGAAGATTTAATAAGATCTGGGCATACTTTGAGAAAATACTGCCGTAAAAATACCGCATAGTTCTCAAGTTCCTGCATTGCCAACATTGGGTAGGGCCTCTATATCTTTAGTAAGCTATATGGTCTTTAGTAAAACAGAATTCTTATTGGTGTGGCACTAAAGCCTTTTTCTCTATGTATCCCAAAAAAATCATTTTGTGATCTATTTTCAAACCAAACTATAGGAAGGAGTCGAAACAGGAGTGAAACAGTCGTGCCAGTATTACTGATTGTCTAAAGCCAGGGATTTTTCAGGATGAAAATGACTTGTTTATCGTTTTAAGGATCTCAAAATGGCAGTGAAGATTTTGAATAAAGACTATGGGTATCAAATTTAGAAGTTTTTATTTATCATTTTTAGCTAAGTCATTTATTTTTAAACCACCTTAAAAAAATAACCACCAGTCTTGTCGTTAATTAAAATTTAATTTGTACTTTTACAAGAAATGAAGATTTAAATTAATCCCTTTCTTCTGGACTTTTGTAAGGATAATCAATTACATCAAAAATACACTTTTCTGATAATATTTCCACAGGCTCCCCACTGCGGCCTGTGAGTCCCAAGGGCCTTAAGGTGTATTCGTTTAGAGTGAATCCTTGCTCCAGCGCGTGGTGCCGCATATTTTGATTAAAAAGATCTGAACCGGTAAAGTAGAGGACCGCGCAGTAATACTGATCAAATGGCACGAATCTAATGTCTAAACGACGGGTAGGGAGACTAGGATTTAACTGACAAGTGCCCTAAAATAAAAGGAATGCAAATTTTACTCATTTTGGGTATAAACCTACCATGAATTTGGTCTCTCCTAATGATAAAGTGTCCGTTATCAAGTGACATTGCATGAGTTTGTCAACAATTGTTTTCAACACCTGATTTTTATGCTTCTTATCAATTATTGAACTGTTGTAATCAATATGGGTAATCAATGCGTCAATGTCGCCACTTTCACTCTTGCCGCGTCTAAAATTACATTGGTATTTTCCCCAATAAGGAAATAAACAAATTACCTGTAGCTACCACAAATAGTGACCTCAAACTTGGGATCTATATCTTCCAGTTGATTCTTAATCTGGCTTTCGATTTGTTCTATCTCATTACGGGGTATCTTCTTCTCAAAATCTTCAAAATATCTGAAAAGGAAAAATAGCAGTGTAGAAGATGGAGGTGAAACAATTTACTTTAATCCAATCAATTGGTGATGGGTCAATTTCTCGGGGTGCTTATGTAGATCTTCTAACGAAGTGATGCCCTCATCAACCAGCTTTGCTGCTTTTGCTGGCCCTATTCCAGACACTCTAGTTAATAGCTTTATGGCATTGCCCTTATCGTCATGATGTATCTACAAAAATTTTAATTATTATCAAATGTACATTAAACAAGTGGTCAAGTACATTTTCTAGTTTTTTCAGTTTACCAGTCTGCAAATATTCATCGATTTTTAAGGCGATCTTTTTACCTATCCCTTTCAGGTGCTTGGCTTCTTCTCCAGATTTTATACGGGTCGGATGAGCTGCCAGGACCCTAGCCGCGTTCTTATACACTTGCCCTTTAAAATGATTGCGATTGACGTTCAATTCATGCTCAGCCAATTCTAAAACGGATAAATTTCCAGTAACTGAAGCTACCTTTTCCAAAAATACCGATCAGAAAGTCGCAAAAATCCTGATTTAAATTTTTCGGATCGCCGGGCGCTTTTCTTTTGCTCATTGTGTAAACGATTCGATGAAAAATTACAAATATTTTGAAAATCTAACCCTAACTTCGTTTTCGGAAATATTAGTTCAATTCAATTCAATGATGCGTTTCACAGATAGCTGTTGGGCACGACTACCAGGATCATTCGCCCAGAAATATTAGTTCAAATGTAGCAATATTTTTATTCAAACCTTTCGATGCTCATAGCCGGTACTAGTAGGATCATTAGGCCAGTCTTAGCACGGCAACAATTTGCGAAATCAGGAATTCTTCTTCAGGAATGAAAGATATTTAATAACACTTTCCTGTTACCATCATGAAGCACTTAAATTACGATTTGTGCGTATTTTTGTATATTAAAGCGTTTTTAAATCTTGTCATTTTCTATGCGGCGCTATCTCTCGTTAAACGCTGAAAGTCATTAGTTGAAGAAAACTTCTATGAATTGCACGGTAGTGGCGTTTGCAACTAATTAGTCGATGCGATGTCGGTATCTTTCTTTGAACTTTAGAACGACATAGCTACCAGTAACTCTATGGTTAGAACTTAGAGCTAATTGGTGAAGCAGGCACTGATAGATCGCACAATAGCTCAGGAACTAAATCTAATAGTCTTCGATAGATTACGAGCGTGAGTATGGTCGGGAACCAAATATTTTAGGCATTGCAGGACAACAAACGCATATAATGAATTGATTTGATCATTTAACCAAAAAAGACACACCTTAATTAGAAATAATTTATTTTATATACAAGAAAAAACAGGAACCGCTCAGGGTTTCCGAAAATATGAAAAAATTAACAGCATCCTTAATCTTCTAACGCACATCGCAACTGTGACGTCACACCTTGGATAGACATGCTGGTTTACGTTACTGTTGAGGATATTTCTTTTGAAATTCCCAACTAGTGAATACAATTTTCTTCAACACTTGCTATGATAAAGTAAGAAGACTGTCAAAGGAGAAACTTATTTATTATTGGAATAATTAAACACAAGATAACTTCAAACAACTTTTAGCTATAATTTGAATATAAAACGAAATACCAACTATTTATATATATGGTCTAACCTAAACTCTTTAAAATTAAAAAAAAATCCTTTGCGCAGATTTACATGTACAAATTAATAAACTAAATAATCCATTCCATGGCAAAGCTTAATCTACAAGCAAAATTGTCAGCAAAACTAACCATTTGTACTGTTGGCCAATCAGGGAATAGCAACGAAGTGGAGTATTTGTCGCTGCTAGTTTCAATTTGAAATATTATTTAGAAATTTTTTGAAAATATTCATATTACTTTTTCGGCTAATCGAGTTCAATATGGTAAGCAATTGCCGGTCATTTTTATGGTATGCAGGGTTAAAATTCAGTACAGCATTCGACAATTTAACATCTAGGTTATGTTTAATGATGCAGCAAATTGTTTTTTAAAATGAAGCTTTGAAGTTTTAAGACGCCTTTAAATATTTGTCGAATAAATATTCCGTTGTCGCAATGTAATAGTATTCTATCCTTGCAGTCGATCTTGGCATATAATGGGGGAGCCATGGTGGCCATGAAGGGCGAAAATTGTGTTTCGATAGCTGCTGATAGACGGTTTGGCATTCAGGCCCAAACGGTTGCCACGAATTTTGAGAAAGTGTTCGAAATGGGTCCCCATTTGTATGTAGGCTTACCTGGTCTAGCCACTGATACCCAAACCGTTATGGAAAAGCTCCGATTCAGAAAAAATTTATATGAGCTTAAAGAAAACCGGCTTATATCACCCAAAGTATTCAGCTCCATGGTATCCCACATGTTGTATGAAAATCGATTTGGACCATTTTTTGTGGAACCCGTTATTGCTGGGCTCGAGCCCAAGACCTTCCAGCCTTTTATATGCAATATGGATTTGATTGGATGCATCAATGAGCCAGACGATTTTGTTGTAGGGGGGACAGCTTCTGCACAATTGTATGGTATGTGTGAGTCCTTGTGGGAGCCTAATTTGGGACCTGATGATTTATTTGAGACCACATCCCAAGCTCTGATTAATGCCTTCGACAGAGACGCTATTTCTGGTTGGGGCGCAACCGTCTATATCATGTAAGTACCTCTTTTTCAACTGGACCTCTTGCTTGTTTCAAGCAGATCATTTTTTTGCAGTGAAAAGGACAAGGTGACTATTAAAAACCTGAAGACGCGTATGGACTAAGCCACAGTCATTATAAACTGAAACTGTTTATAAATTAAGTGTATTTTAAGAAATTTCAATTTTTTATTAATAAATAGGTTAATCCTGCTGTTTTCCTAGTGGGTTGAAGGGGAAATTTTAACAGTTTTATTAAATCGCTTCCTGGGTGCAATAATATTACATATCAAAAAATAGCTGTTTCTAGTTAATATACTTTTTGTTTTAAAAATAAAGTAAAACAAATCAGCATAAATTTTGTAATAAGTAGGACAGTTGATATGAGTTATCTAAATGCTAAACTGCTATATTTATTCAGTTTATCCATGAAAGTACAAAATAGTAAAATATAAAAAAACTGCAACATGTTCCAACCAGATAATTACACAATGATTTAATAATATTTAATAGAATTCCATTTTGAACCCCAAATCGAAAATAGCGAATCAAAAATTAAGTTAGTTAAGTTTTCAAAGATGAACTAGCAAAAATTTAAAGGAAAGAAAAAAACGCTGAGTGCGTGGTAGTGTTTTATTTAATTATTAACAACAACAGCAATTTAATTTGGCAAAACAACAAAATTACCACAAAAACTGTATCTTGACTGTATATTTGACAGCACTATAAAAAGTTATATAAAAGGGTAGCGGACTATCTAGGAAATGAAAATTATTTGGCATCAGTGAGTGCCAAAATTTTATAAAGAACTATGGTTGCAACAACTGACAATTTGGTATCTATGGCCCCATCTACTAAATTCGTAAACTGCAGGATTACTATAAATGTCGCCTATTTATATAGTCCGCTATTATTTAATATCTCCTGTCTCTTCTATTAAAAATGTCCACTAATCAACCAAGAAAAAGACGGATAATAACTGACTCCCTTCTCTGCCCCTGGCTATGATCAATCAATCAACATTCGATTGCGCATACTTAGTTATAGGCCAGGTGATCCCAAAAACTCGGATCTGACTAGATCCTCACCAATCGCAATGTTATCACTGCTATTGATCAAGATTGCCAGAATCATTCGGCCAACTGCAAAAAATAGGCCGAGATTAACCAATTTTCTGTTCTCAATTTATAATCGTATTCATCATTTTGTTGCGTATCATGAAAGTCAATAGTAAACAAATGACATAGATTATGCAATTCCTTATTTGCTTGTTTTCAAATTGCGATTAAGCATTACGAATTGAAAATGTGAAGTTGGCTAGTCCAGGCCTTAATGCGAATCAGTTGTGTGACGCAATACGGCTCACTCAATCCAAAGTTTTCATATTTCCATTATCTATATTATGTAACCGTTATATACAACTTTTTCATACCTGTTAACTATGACTATAATAATTTTAGGACCTATGATACGAAATACGGGAAATTTCTTCACAACAAAGGTAGTTTTGTTCCTATCCTAAGAAATATCTCGCGAGACAGCTGCAAATTTCAAACACCTGAATATCTTAACAGCACGGAATATATCGTATTAATTATAACTTTTGAAGCTCCAGCTCTACCTCATTGTTAAAACAAAATTGGCCCTTTTTGTATGGTTTTCGCAGCTAAGAATTCGCCCCCGAAAAGGTGAAGTTTTAATTTTACGAAAACGAAGTTTTAACTCTCAGGAAAGAAACCACCAATTTAGTCATAGTGTTTCTGTTGTGGCCAATTTTCGATCCGAGTGTACCACAATGTCCTTTTTTTTGCGAATAACTAAGACAGCTAGTGTTGGGACTGCTCAATTGCCACTTCTTAATTAGCTAGTTAAATTCGATCAAATTGTTTGAAATAAAAATTGCAGAGTGTTGTCTATAATTATTTAATAATAATATGTGTTTTATAATAAATTATTATGGGTTTGTGATATTCAATTTAAATCCCAATAAAAATATCCACGCCAATTAGTTCTCAGAACGAGGCGATGGCGACGTAACGCACAATAAATAAATATAAATTTCATTATATTTTTAAAGTTATTTCGGTTGACACAAAAACATTTGATCGATCAATTCCACAACCCTAAACACACCCTGTACATTTCTGATAAAGCTTCAAGAATAAAGTTTATGGCTGCAGGTCATAGTTCAAAACTTTTTGAACAAGACAAGATCTAAAATTTTTGAAAATACATCCCGACCCCCCGTCCACGACTTCGATTGGTTCCGTCAGGGGACCAAACTCTAAATTTGAAATTGATAGCTTTTGGTTAGTTTACTTTGTTTCGTAGCGACGTTTGGAAAACGGGAGAAAATCTAAAAGAAAATGGCCGCAGAGGTCGAACCGCAAAATTTAATTTCGAACGTGATCGAAAGTGATCGAAAAATTGAATTCCGTTAATTAATTAATTGGCTCGGATTCCTCGGCAATATGTTTTTGATAGAAAGGAGAACGGAGGGACCGAGGCGCCCTCGTTACAGGAATATTAACTTCTGCACGTGCATAATAACTGTGACGACTGCCGTTGTATACTTGGGGGTGAGACATATTTAATATAGCCGCGTGGCCAAAACAAATCGCCCTCGAGAGTAGCGAAGCGATTTCGCGCCCCGATGAAGACAGTTGCGTTATTAAAAAGACACCGCGAAACGCTAGATGGAGTCAATTTTGTGACGTTTTTAGTACGCCGTACCAAATTTCATTAACAAAATAAATCCTGGCTATGTGTGCGAATACACATGTTTTTTTAAATCCCCCTTTTTGTCTGCGAAAACTCGTAAAAAAGGTGCAAATTTTAGGTAAAACAGTAAGAATCAATAAATTTTAACAAAACAAGTGTGAATTTAGTAAAAAGTTTGTGAAATATCACTTTTTTTGACAGAAAAACTATGTTTTAGAATTTAGAAACGAGTAAATTCAGAAACTTTTTTTAGAGATTCACATAATGTTTTGTAAAATAACCAATAAGAATTGACAAAAAATAACCAAAACAAATAAAAACTATCAACAAGACTTATCAAAACTAAGCATTGCGTAAAAAAAAAATGTGAATTCGCAATTTTTTTTACAGAAAAACTAAGTTTAACAATTTTTAAAAAATATTTTGTTAAAAAGTATAAATTCACAAACTTTTTGACAAAATTAATTCGATTCTTTGGCGAAATGTAAAAAAAAATATGATTTTTTTTTACATTTTTCGTTTCTTGGTAATAAAGTTAATTTATATATTTTACATTTTATTCCTTTTAATAGCTATACTAAGGTTCATTTTTTAACGATATTTGCAAAAAAAGTGTAAATTTGCCAAACTTTTTAAGCAAATTTTGTAAAAAAAAAGTGTGAATTAAGAAAATGGAATATAAGGATACGCTTTCGTAAAAAAGACATTTTCGGGATTTTGGAACTACAGAGGTTATTTGGGAGTGGAGAACGACTAAGAAAATTTTAGTGTGGATAGAATTTTTGGTACTTTCTAGAACCTTCACTTCCTAGAAATTTGAGAATTTTTTTAGAATTAAATTTGTATTTAAATGGTACGTAAAACAGGAATTTGATTTTTTCTTCAAGTTCGATAGTGAGAGAGATATTTAGAGGCCTTTTTCTGTAGCGCTTTAACGTCACATTAAAAATCAATATTGTTCTTCTTTGTATAGTGAGTTATTAGTTACAAAATTCCATAATGAAAAGAATTAGACGAAAAATTTGCAATCACAGCTTTCTTTTATAGAGAATTCAATTTCCGACAAAAATACATACCGGGTGATGCTGTACAACTTTTAAACGGCTGGAGATAGCGATTTCAAATTTTGAACGGTTAATATGGGATTAATGTAATTTTTGATAATATGTAGTCAATGGTTACACTTCTGGTTTGAGCGGAAACGACAGGATAGGACGGCTTTTCTCTTTTTTTTTCTTTTTTAATTTTTAAAAATTGTGCCTAGGAGACTGTGACCATCATAAATGCTATTTACCGGGTCACCTGATCATGGGAAAAATTGTAAATGAAACTTTTCTTTACTGGTCTAATGGCAAATAGCATTTAATGTAATGAAATATAATTTTTTTAGGATAACCTAGTTTTTTCAAACATCACCCTAGAGGGAACAAAAACTTTTTAAAAGCGGTACTTTTTTGCAACATTTTGACACCAAAATTTTCGAAATCCATTAAAAAATAAGCTCATAGGAAGGAAAAAACGATATAAGTAAATACATTTTTATAAAAACAAAATATTATTTAGGTGACTTTGCTTCTATTCATTATTAATTATCAAGTAATAAGATTAAAAATGCAGAAGAAACTCTCGGCAAGCTCATGCAGTGGAAAGAAAAAAACAGATTAGTATTGAAAAAATAACTCAAGGGTGAGTTTCTTCTGAGATTCGACGATTAGAATTTTTTGTTGAAAGTGTTTTATTATGGTAAAAAGTTGATATGCTTTTGGAATACGGGGATATAGTCAAAAACTAACATAAGTATGGTATGTATACGCACGTCATAAGCTACAAGTACTTTTTACCGGAAACTCAGAAGAACAAGAGAATAGTCATGTTTATCTAACATCCAATTACAATATCGAAGTCTTCTTACAAAGTCAACTTCATAAAGATTTAGATGAAGGTTATACTTAAGAGAATGATAGCAGTCTTTTTTTAAATTTCTCATCACAGATTCTCTTGAGATGTCGAATTCTAATGACACTTCTCTTAGCGACGCAGCTGGATTTACGTTGACGTACAACATTAATTTCCATTTCTTCACTTATAATAAAATTATCATGTCGATTATTTCGTGGATTTTTCATTTTCAATTCCAGCTTTCTAAAGAAAGAATGTGCAGGATGGCGACGTCTCGCATAGCGGGCTGCATACATATACACATACATACATATTCTGCATTCCCCGTATATCAGAAACATATCAACTATTTGTCCATTTATAAATTGATTATTGTTTTCCATCATAATCCAAATCGATAACACGACAAAATCGATAATCAGATAAAAATGTACAAACAGACAGAATTTTCAATCATGCCGACCTGATGATGAATAGAAGCAAAGCCACCTAAGCAACGTTTTGTTTGTATAAAAATGTACTTCACTTATCTGGTTTTTTCCTTCCTGTGGGTTTATTTTTTAATGGATTTTGAAAATTTTAGTGTCAAAATGTTTCAAAAAAATTACCGGTTTTGAAAAGTTTTTGTTCCCACTAAATTTTTTTATAGTTTAGTACATTGAATGCTATTTGCCATTAGACAAGCAAAGAAAAGTTTCATTTACAATCATTCCCATGATCAGGTGACCCGATAAATAGTATTTATGATGGTCACAGTCTCCTAGACACAGTTTTTAAAAATTAAATACAAATTTAAAAAAAAAACAAAAAAGATATGAGAAAAACAATCCTACCCTACGTAGAAAGGTCTTCTGAATCCAAAAATACAAAAAAAAAGTTACGGTCGTTTCCGCTCAAACCGGACGTGCAACCATTGACTACATATTGTCAAAATTGGACATTCAGCCTTTCCACATTTCAAATCGCTATCTCAAACCGTTTAAAAGTTATAGTGTTCCCACTTTCTTGTGTCGCCCGGTATATTCAAATAAATATTTTTACCTCAATCGTTTAATTCTTTTGATCCAATAACAAGGTCAGGACAAGAATGAAATATCACCCATTAATTAATTAAGAAATATTCGTCAAAGGATGTCGTTTTAATTGTAACGTTATTTTCGGAAATAACTCCGTTCGTTATCAAACGCCTAATATTATTGTATTACCCAATCCGACGTCAAATAGGGGGACAAAAATTAACTGCAGATTTCTGTATTGTATAATCCTATTAGTCGCTTTAACGCATCTAATTTGGCGTGGCCGTGTCAAAACGATCTCTCGCCTACCCCCCCATCGAATAATAATCCGTTTATTTCGGACACCCGGTCACATATTTCCCAAATTTCGAACAATCTCGATGATTGATAGGTTTTTGTTATTCCTATAGCATTGAGGTGGCGGTAGATTATTTTTAATAAAAAGGCTTGTTGCCATGATAGCCTAAAATAGACTTACTCCATGCATGGTATTTCCGGGAGAGCGGGACACTGTAATTAATTTCAGAAAGGTGTAGAGTATGAAAACCCCGTAAAGTGTGCAAATGGACTACAGAGTGGCCCAACAAATGCTTAAGCCGCTTTCAGCGTTTGGAATCGATTTCTTTGCAATGTTCTTTCTTTTTAGCGAGTATTACCACCAGGGATTTGAGTCAATTTATGGGGTTTACTTATTCGCCGTCACTGAAAATAGTGTACGAAAAGCAAAAGCGTTATAATTAATGGGTCGATCAAGTAATGAAGACGCCACATTTTCTCTGTAGGACTTAGTTCGAAATGCAGCGGTTCAGCACAATTACAACGTATTTTAAAAGACGATGTTAGTGCAAATTTGGTATCCCTCCTCCATCTCCATTGAGGTTGGCGACCACTGTGACAAATTGTGACATATTACCATTCATCTTCATCCATTCTTTTATGCTTTCCATCCGGTTAATATGTTGTTCTCACTCACTCACTCACTTTGATGCAAGGTTAAAGCTAGCATGCCTTCTCTGGTGCCCGTACATCTTCTGAAACTCTTTGCTGCATGACTCACTCTTCTCGCTTTGTTCTTTTGCTATATGTTCTTTATCAAATTATCCTCAGATTCAATACGTTTGATGGTTAAACAGTCGAGAATTTCTTGTTCTCTCCGAGATGAAGCTATGCGGCATGAATATGCGGTATCCATAAGTATTACAGAATTAGTCGGAAGATATTTTATCATTTCATCAAAATTATCTTCAAAAACGCCTGAAGATTTAGCAAAGCTTCTTTGAAAAATCTGTCTTCGCTTCCAGAATGATTATTACGCTCTGTTTCTTAATGCGAAGTGAACTGTAAAACTTAGTGCTCTTAGCCGTAGCTGTGTGCTAACGTCCCACATATGCCTTAGTGTTTAGAATTACAGTTACTTTCCGGTAGTTGTTCACAAACTTCGAGCTTCCCAAAAATGATAACATTCTTCTTATTCTTAATGTGTTCAATGCTCTTCATCGCCAAAACTCAACGATAGTTGAAATGTGTTCGAATATGACTGGAGTTGGCCTGTCAGCAATATACTGACCAAATAATAATACAAAACTAACAAAATAGCAGGTGACCAAACTACAGGAACAAAAGTGAGAATTAAAAGACTGCCATCGGAAGATTAATACACTTGATTAATTTAAAAAAAGAAATACGTACCTTGGACAAAACGAACTTATGATTTTAAATTGTGGAGAACTTTCACCAAATTGAATTTTCGATAAAGAAAATCATTTTTAATAGAGAAGGACGACATTATATTAAACGGAAACGGGAATATTTATTATCTGGACGAAACTTGGGTAAATGAAGTATATATAAGTATAAGTATATAAGTAAGTATATCTTAGGTAAAACATAGCAGGATGCAAATTAAAAAGCGCGAGGCAAGCTTTCATGGAAGGAATGTGCACTGGAATAAAAGCATACTCAGGAAAAATAATAAAAAAAACTCCAAAAATGTGGATAAATATTTCCCCAAAAGAAAATATTTCTTTATATTTCCTAAATATTTCCTCGTATTTTCGTCTAAATATTTCCCCTATTGTTTCCGTCAATAATATCTAAATGACTTCCATAAATTTCAATTCAACAATAAAATACAGTATACGTATTTTTTAGTTAGTGTCAGTGTTACTTTTGTTTTTAAGAAACTCTACGAAACCAACCAAAAGCACCAGTTGACCAAAAATTGACCTCCTCCATTTATCCACTGCTCCTAGGAGTTGCAAAATGACATCTCTCATCTCTACTTTTTAATAAGCTCTCAGCTAAGCGCAAATTTAATTTTATTTGAAAATGTCATATGCTTCTCATTTCTTCTTGGATGGCATCAAAAAAGATCGGGAGATGTAAGCAGATCTGAAGCAGAAATCTGCTACTTACCAATTTAAAAAAAAAAATCAAATTTCTAACGGAACTGTCACTCGACTCCCCCTTTCATATATGAATTTCAAGGGCCACCACCATCCCGGGGCGAGGGGTAAAAGGAGGTGGAATAATTTTCGCTCAAAAACTCGTCTCTCTATCAAAAAGTTTTTCCATATTTCATATAGATTTGGCAAACAGAAACTTTTATTACTGGGAGTCGTGGCCAATTTATGAATTGGTAAGAAGATATTTGCGTGCTTTAGGTTATTTGTTCGTTTTACTCTTTGTTTCACTTTTGTAGACGAGTGTTAACACAACGCTGTGGCAGTAACCCATTTTATATTTTTTGAGTCACGGAACTTAATACTTTCACGTAGACATTCAATAATTTACGAAAAATTTATTGAAATAGTTGCTTATACTAATATTCTAGAAAAAAGTGTAACCACCATCATTAGGCTTGGTTTGTAGAGCGAATTCTGGAAATTATTCTCAGAGATTTCTGCTATATGTTACCATATATTTCCCCATATTTCCAAACATTTCCAATACGAATGTAAGTATTTCATAACTGGTTTCTCACTCACAAAAATGGGTTTCTCGGTGATGGCTTACTAGCATTTCAATAGAAACGGACTGGAGACTATCAAGAAGAAATAAATGCTGCTGTTTTTGAAGACCGCTTCCAGCAAATTCTAGATCTTATTTCTCCTGGGTGCGTTATAGTCATGGAAAATGTCAGCTACCAAGCAAAAAAAAGACTTTATTGATTGTGTTACTTTAAATGAAAAGCAATTTTAGTAAGATTGTAAATTTGTCACTTCAAAACAAAGTACTTCACTGTCACATATCACTGTCAATTAAACACAGATGTGGTATGGGTGCATGTAGCAAGGCATAACACCACTTGTTAAATGAGGGACGTTGAAACTTGCAATCGGATTGGAAAATGGAGTAAGTGGGTCCAACACACGATTGAAATAGAAGAATGTCAGAATGCTAGAAATCAACGTAGAGCACCTCATTATTTCTCTAACTGACTAAAATTTATAAATTAAGTTGTATATTACATTATTCTTGTTTCTATATAAGCTTTTATTTTCTTAATTGTTATTATATTTATTACCTGTAGTTAGGCCTCATTTGCCAAACTCATCTTCTTATTTCATGCAAATTAGTGTGACCTTAATTTAAGAATAACTGAGGGTGTGTCAATTTTAAAAACTGAAATACGGAATTTTTAAAAGCTAACGTTGTAAATTATCTTTCACTTTACGATATAACTTTTAAGCTGTTCACCCTGTTTAATGATCCCTGTAATTACAACTTTACATTTTATAACTCTCTCGCATTAAGAAAGAGAATGCATCCTTAATACCAGCTGGAAAGCTTTCATTGAAAACTGAGCCAGCACTAGTTTCTGTCATATTTTTAGTACCGTATAATCTTCATTTCTTCCGTACTGCTTTACACTATATATTATGGTAAAAGGTTTATAACAAAATTGTTTTATAAATTTGTTGCTATTCGTTATGATATAGTGTTATACACTGTATATTTACCAACAACATTGCTTTGTCAAATTCACGCTTATCGATTTTAAGATTATGATTCAATTAAAATGCCTACTCTTATATGATCACAGTTTGACTAAAATGTCTTACATACTTGCTTTGACCTGAAATCTTAATTGTTTTGAGTTGTCATTTTTATGTAAAATTAAAACTTTGTTTTTCTTCTCGCTTTCGTCAAAGATAGTACAGAAGGGTTCCAAATTTTAAAGCAAACAATAAAACTACAAACAGCATAAGACACGCACGTCCGACTTTATATTTTAATCGCGTATATTAGTCATATGTATAAAATGATTAAAAATATTATGAAAATGCTTTTTACAATCCACATGGGAGTCCAACAATAATTCTTCAAGATTACGTTGACGCACCGGAAGTTTCTTAATTGCACTGAACTTTGGCGATGTCATCTTTCTCACAACTTTCTGGGACAGATGACCAAAAACAAGAAAAAAGAAAAGGGAGCAGTAAGAAAAAGGAGATCATGTTACAAAAAAATAATTTTTAAGCTAATTGGCATTTGGCGAATCATTATTTTTTACATAAAGTTGTACGATGTTAAATAACTACCATTATCAATATCCTTACATTGCAATAATTGCGGAATAATATTTCTGCTTGACTTTAACGTTTCCCCAGATAATATCTACGTTTGCCATATTAATAAAACAGCTTCCAACATCGGGAAAATTTCAGCATCTCTCTGGGAGTCGATAAATCCCTTCCGTCGAATTTCCTCGCTACGAACCCTGGATATAGGGTCGAAATTTGATCCACGGTAACGGCAACATGTTCCGGCCACCCCATTGGCAAGGGCTGTCGTCCAAACCGACCCCGCAGCGACCTCCGACCAATAAAAGTCCTGCGTAAAATTTCTGCACGGCCGTGGTCTGGTTTGAACTTCTAATAGAGCCCGGATTTTGATATTTGCAACCATAAGCTAGTTTTGACCGGCCGAGGGTGTGGTGTGGTGGTTTTCTGTAGTGGACTGTGCCCCCCAAAAGTTGTTACTAATGAAAATGTCTTTTACTAGTGACCACGGCCCATGGGAAGCCAACAACGTAAGGAAGCTTGAAAATCTATGCCAAAACTAAAATGTTAAGTTGCCCATTTTGGTCTATGGATTCAATGCTTTTTCAAAGCTGAAGCGGTTTCCTCCATTTACTTTTTCATTATTATTATTAGAAATGATCCTTTAAAAACCTCAAATATTCCTTTTATACTTATAGTTCCTTAGAATACCTCTAAAATTCTTCAGATTTCCTCCGATTCCTTCAAACTTCAACATCAAACCAAATTCCTCTGCCGTTTACCCCTCATACGTACCAATAAATATCATTTTTTAGAAATGTTGATACGTTTGTTTTTTTATATGCATATAAATCGGCAAAATTTTTAATGATAAGCGATCGAATTTTTATTTACAAACAAAACAAACGAAATCAATGTTCTTAATTTAAAATTTGACGACGTAGCCTTTCAAATCCGGCAAATCTGATCAAAAATATGTTAACCAAAAACCATCGCAATCAAAATATAAATGAAAAATATATAATGCCTAGCCCTAATACCTACCTGCACTTTGTGCCATTTTCTTTTTAATCGATGAACTTCACACATTAGATTCTCAAAATTTGGAATCTGGGCATATTTAGACAAAATACTACCGCAAAATACCACATCCAAGCTGAAAACCGTTGAATTGATGAAATGTCAGCAGCCATATTGATTGTTGAACGTCTCAAAGTCTTATTGATTGAAAGCGTGTTTTGAAATCGCTGGCGCATGTTTAACACTCCGTTGTCAGATTTTGAATTTTAAAAAAAGTCAGTGTACAGTACGTCCAAGTTAATGATGTCTGTCATGGGGACATTGGACACCATAAGACATACGAAGATGGTTTAATTGGAAAAAGGTTGCAAAATTTAAATAACGTGGTGTTGTGAAAACAAAAAAATCCCATCACTTCCGAATATACGTCAAAAAAAAAACAAGAAATTTTCGGATTTTCCTGGTGTTATTTAAAGAGATATAAAAAAATAAAGGTTACTTTCTCGTTACTACTTTTGGAGCACCACATGATAGCGCTGAAAGATTTTAATTACGACATTTTGTTTCGGCAAAATCATTATCAACTAAATTTCTTCGTATGGTCCGTGTAAACATTATATTATTTTTTATAACGAATATAACGATGTAAGATACAAATTAAATTTTTAATGTTTTCGCTCAGTAGGAGCTACAAAAAATTTTTATAAAGAATGTTCAAACAAGTGACCATATTTTCCAAACACATTAGTTGTAATGTTTTAAAAGACTTCAAGAACTAGACTTCTCAGCTGACCCTCAGTCTCAAAAACTTGCTGATAAACATAATTATGGCAATTACTCCATATAAAAAAAAATCGAGTGGAGTGAGGTCCGTCGAATAAAGGGGCCACGAAACTCTTGATTGGATACCTATCCATTTTTCCGAATTACGAGAACCAATATAAAACGTGTTCCGAAAATCCCACATATTAAACCCAAAATGATGATCATCATCGTCTAGATATTCGGTGGACTCCAGGATTATCTCTTGCCCAATTTCGCCGTTGTTCGTTGTTGTTTTCGTCCGACCAAATGATCTTAATGGGAAAGTTTTCATCTGTCTGACACTTGCTAGCATACCATTCACCTCTCTTCATCAACATGTAAATAAGCAGTATATTTCGCGATTTCAGTTCTACGTTATATTTTTCCAACAGATGTTTCCGAATTTCAGTTACAGTAACATTATAATACATTATTTATTTTTTCTTCATTGCAGACTTATTTGTTTTTAAATTTGTAGTTAATCATCAGGTTTTATTTTGTGTTACAAACAAGAGCAAAAGAAAGCAACAATATGTCAATAAAATTACTCTGACATTCACTCAGCGCCTACTACACTAAAACATTCAAAATGTTACCCTTTTTGCGATTTAAATAATGTAGAATCATATTGTGTCGTAGATCGTTGTATTCGTAAAAAAAATGCTATGTGAACATATGATAATAAATTGATGATGATTTGGCCAAAACGAAAAGTTAAACTTAAAATCTTTCAACGTTAAAAAAGTGGCAACGGGACAGTGACCTTTATTTAAATAACACCAGAAAAAAATCCACAAATTTCGCTTTTTTAACGTATCTTCGGAACTAATGCGATTTTTTTTTGTTTTCTCGACAGCACACTATTAACCTCTAAATTTTGCAACTTTTTTCTAATTTAATCACCTTCATATCTCTTATGGATTCCAATATCGACACTTTGACACACTGGCATTTTATTTTGGATATAGGGGCCAGAATTCCCAGGGTATCCCGCCGACATCAACGGTTACGGCGGCCTGTGGGACCCCCATCACTTTCCAGGGCAAAATCCTGCTCTTCCGGGTTATCCCGACATATTAACTGCGTTCAATTCTGATCTCGGTAAGAACTAACCAGAAAGTTTATGTACCATTGAAATTGCTAGTTTTAACTGCAATTTCAGTATGGCCTAGGCAACAGTGTGGCGGCTTAGTGTCGAATCGCATGGGAAGAAACGGATCAGGAAGCTCGCAGTCGAGCAAAAAACCAAGAAGAAGAGTTGCGACGATTGCCCAACGAAGGGCGGCAAACATTCGAGAGCGCAGACGCATGTTCAACTTAAACGAAGCATTCGACAAGCTTCGCAGAAAAGTAAACATATCGATTACCTCCTCAATTCCAATCTTAATATTTTCGCCTTAGGTCCCGACATTCGCTTACGAGAAAAGGCTTTCCCGCATCGAAACGTTACGCTTGGCCATCACCTACATTAGTTTTATGACGGAATTGCTGCACGGCCATCCTATGGACGTGAAGGGAGGAGATATCTACCCGCAAAGGGAATACATTTCCTATGGTTTAATCAACTGAGCAGCCCTTGTTTTGTTATTGTGTTTCTGTGATACGTTCGCGTACTGTATTAGTCCAACATGTCTTCCATTATTAAATATTATACAATTCATGTATTATATTTTAATGACAAATAAATTCATTTTGCAAATCTTTCTATAAAACTAAAAATAAAATGAATCATTCCCAAACCAGTTTTGGCCAAATGATGCAGCCAAATTGACCAACATACGTACAGAAGAAGAAGAATTCCTTTTACGCGACAGCTGCACATGTTTCTAGGTTAAGTTACATTTTTGGGCATAATTTCAGCCCCCAAACCGTTAAGTTTGACGTTCTCGAAATGTCAATGTTAGCAGAAAGGAGACGAAAGCAAAAATGGTCCTTAAATCCACGCGGAAAAGACTGGGCGCAAGGTTGTTGTCATGAAATCACGCTACGGGCTTCCCTCTTAATCTTTTGCTTTTAGATACCAACAAATTTGGCCAAAAAATGTTGGAAAAAATGGGTTGGACTTCAGGTAAAGGTTTGGGGGCGAAGGAGAACGGCATAACCGAACATGTAAAAGTAGCTTACAAAAATGACAGTCAAGGAATGGGTTATAAGGAGACAAATGACCAGTGGACTGCCCACGAGGCGAATTTCAGTGCTCTTTTGGAAAGTTTATGCGGTAAGAGAGTGGAAGAGGTTCAGCTATCATCGTTGGAAGAGAAATCGCAAAAATCCAGAGCGAGGGTTCATTACAAAAAGTTCACTAGGGGTAAAGATTTGAGCAGATATTCCGAAAAGGATTTAGCCAATATATTCGGCAAAAAGAGCTTGAAGGAGCTTAGAAAACCATCTAAAGAAGTTGAGGAGGTGACAGATAACAAGCAAGTTGAGGAAAAGAGTAGTTTTTTGCTTAACAGTGGTTTAATGTCTGATTATTTTAAAAAGAAACTACCAAACTTTGGCTCATTTAATGGTAATATTGTTGGCAACAATGGAGTCTTGCAGAAACAGCAATCAGAGTCTGAGAGCGAGGTTAGGCCCAACGGTGAACTGGATCTTAATGACAAGCAACAAAAATTTATCTCCTATATTGATGAAAGTAAAGTAAGTAAAGCCAGGAAACATAAGAAGAGAAAGCTAAATAGTGACACTAATGACATGGCAGATAAAGAATTGAAAGAAACTCATGGAAAAAAAAAGAAAAAGAGTAAGTCAAATATTCCTGAGGGAGTGAACAACCCAGCATTTGATCCCATGTACAATATGCCTATAAAGTTGGAAAAACACTCATTGGACCCTATTGAGGAAATATTGGATGATACCCTACCATTGGAACCAGAACATCTTGAAGTAAATGTACAAATACATGATGAGGAAGGTAGGGTTACAAGGAAACAAGCTGCTAGTTTGCAAGGGAAGGAGAAAGAGAAGATTGAAGAAAGCACACTGAGAGCAGATAGTGGTATACAAAATTTAGATCTTTTAGACTCAAAAGGTGAATGTGAGGTAGTAGGCAAAAAAAAGAAGAAGAAGCATAAAGATAAGGGAGTTGAAAATCCCGTGTTTCAAATTGTTAGTGGAGAAGAGGATGAGTTAATGCAATTGGATAACCCTTTTGAGGTTAAGAGTGAAGGGAAAAATAAAAAGAAGCGAAAACGGACAACTGAAATAAAAAGCGAATATGGTTTGGATAACCCGGTATTCAGTGAAGACCCTAATTTAAATAACGACCTTATGAACCAACAATATGAAGTTAAAAGAAAAAAATCAAAAAAAGAAAAGGGATTGGATAACCCCGCTTTAAATTTATCCGACAGTATTGATGACTCTTGCGATTTGGTGTTAAACATTGTTTCGACGCCAGTAACAGTGAAACAAACAGAATTGAGTTTTGCTGAAAGTTTAAATACACAGAAAACCACCCAAGTGACGAGGAGAAAAAGTGTCAGGTTTAGCGACGTTACCCGTGAAAGAATTATTCCCACCAAAGAGCAACTAAAACTTATGGAAGATGACAGTGTTGAAATGGAAGACAACGAAAGCTTCGATATTGAAGGCAGGCTTAATGATAGCACAGACAATTCTCGCGTCTTCCACGTAAAAAAAAAGAAAAAGACTGCACATGGGCTGGACAACGAAGCTTTTGATCAAGAAGCGAATAATCTAGAAGAGAATATAAATTCTATTGCCGATACCTTGGATCAGTACCAAGCAGAGATTGAAAATGATATGAACGAGGAAAAAACTAAAAGTTTAGAAGTTTCTGATATAATGATTGGGGAGGTGGGTAATCCCCATGGCCAGAATGAAAAGTTGCCCGACGGAACTGTAAAGCTCAAGTTCAAAAACGTCAAATTTGGCAAAAATGCCAAATATGTGGACTGCATGCTGGGGCCTAAGAAACCTTATAAACACCTTATCAAAGGTGACATCATTTTGAATTTCATGGAGACCAATTTGCACGAGATTGAAGGTTACGCCGCCAAGGAACCTTGATTTTTGTCAGTACTTTTTTTCACCTATTGTTTGTTTTAAAATATATTACTTTAAAGTGAAAGGATATAGAAACATTTTTGTGACATCCTAGAGTTTCCCTCCGCCTATGCATTTGCGTCTATAAAAGGCAATGCTGGGTAATTTATGTAAGTTGAGCTAAAAAAAAATTCAGCATTCATTGAACTTAAATTTACCAAATAGTTCATTATACTAAAATCCTCAGACTAAACTTTGCGCTATAAAAGCGGTTTTATACTTTTTATAACGAATAATAAAAATAAGGAAAATTTCTTACCCATTTAATGCTTCCTCTGGTTATTTCCAACATGTTTTATGACTATCTGCATCTGAAAATCAGTTTTTCGCAGAATTATGGACCACTAATTATTCTATTAAACTCGCACCATGGCAAAATATCAAATTGAACAAAATTACCACAGATAAGGTAATCTAAGTGTAAAATTATAAGCGCTACGACATCTAGCGGCTAGTTCAAAAGGCAGGCGCGAGTCGCCGGTAGTTCCAGAGATTCCTACTAGGTGGCGCGATACGATAATTAAAAGCTCGATCGCACGAAGCAATGTTCCATTAGCGTACAATAACAAACAAATATTAGCATCATTGTTTCATTTGTATTATTATATTGTACATTATTAATATCAGAAAACTGTTTAATTTCGTTTGTTATGAGACTTTAGCTCTTGGGCAGTTTTTTCACGGAAACTCGACCGGACTAACAAACGTTGATCAATATCGCGACGCCAGGCGTCGCCGTCGAGGGCGTCGACATCGTCCCGCTCGCGTAACAATTTGCGAGTTGTTTTCCGCGGTCGTAGCCAACATCCGTCAACGTGTACGGTGCCGAGAATAATGAGCGCAAAGGTAAGCGACGAATTATTTACACAACACGCATGAAGATATGTTTGTCGTTACAATTTTAAGTGGCCTGCGAAAACAAACGACACAGTGTCCGGAAACTGGCACTGCTTGATTGCTGCTTGCGTCAAAACAAATCGGTCGACTGGGATAAGATTGCCGAAATTTTGGAGCGTTAAAAACATTCGGCAAAGCATCAACCAGATTAGCCCTAACATTGCTTTCGGTCACTATCCCTTAAGCTCACAGTTGAACCGTTTAGATTTGTGGCCAGATGGAAACCACGTGATCTAACTGTCTAATACATGGGGTGGGAGGTGGGATGTTGATAAAGTACGTGTGAGGACTTTGCGGGGTGAAATAAGCCTCCAAATTCACTTTTAGATATGTTTTTTTAATTTGATTGGTAATTGGCGGGAACTTATCGCTTTTTATATGGGGGGGGGGTGTTGATGAAGTACGTGTGAGGGGTGAAATGAGCCTCCAAATCCACTTTTAGATATGTTTTTTTTTAATTTGATTGGTAATTGGCAATTAGTAATTGGCGGGCACTTATCGCTTTTCACTCAATTAATTACTTAATTAATAATGAAGTAATTCCAGTTGTTTTGCTTTTTTTTCAAGCAGCCATAACATTTTAGCACTGGATTATTAACTTATTCGCGTGTAGCCTTAAATTTCAGATACTCACTAGCATTTTGCGCCGTTTCTCATACAATAAGCTACTTATTCGCGTGTAGCCTTAAATTTCAGATACTCACTAGCATTTTGCGCCGTTTCTCATACAAAAAGCTATCACCATACACTTAACTAGTTTTTTTTTCCTGAAGTTTATTGGAATCTGGGCATATTCTGACGAAATGCTGAACAGGTCTTTACTGAAAACTGTCAGCGGTCCTGTTGGTTGTTCAACGGCAAAGCAGAAAGCAGAAAAAGATGCCAAGTAGGAGATTGCGTATTTGAAAAGTATATCAAGCATATGTTATCAGTAAATTAATCATTCCTTTGAAAGTAACAATAATATATATAAAAAAACATAATATTTTTCGAATATCAAAACCCCTAAAAAATTATTTTTTAATAGACTATTGAATTTATAGATTTTCAATTTTATAATCTGTATTCCATCCATACACTCATTATTCCACTATGCATGATAATTCAAGCTGTTTTTGCAAAAATATTTTACGTTTTCCACTAAGTGTGCGCGTAAAGATCGTAATGGTCGACAACGCGCTTTGCGCATGCGCATATCGAATGTTGAACCATATAGCTATGAGATAATAGAGCGCATGCGGGTCTGAATTGCTACATTGCCGTAATTTTTCTGGAATACTGATTAATTTTTATAAGAATGCAACATCAATCTCTGAAATGCGAACATAATTGGCAACGCCGGGATAAGTAATTGTTATTGTCACAGAACAGTCAGTGCCTTGTGTCATTGTTTTTGGTGTCGTCAATATTTCCGTAGCGTACTCACAAACTTATATAATTTGTGCTTTCAATGCTTTGTTGTTTTACAAAATTACAGCAAATGTGGCAAATATGAGAACCTAATAGGATCTTAGAGAAACCGTGATTCCTACATTTAACAAACTGGAAAATACATATACAGAAATTACTAAACAAAAATCCCTACATTTTTAAGTACACTTAAAATATGTTTTAGTATACAAGAATTACATGAAATATAAGAAAACAATTAAGTTACTAGAACAAGCATAAGAAATACCCATTGTCAACCACTGTCGATTGGAAGTGCTTCTTTTTCCACTTAGATATTTTTTGTGCAATATCTAGCATCTCAAAGTTAGTTCAATATCGTTTCGCGCCGATTTACAAACAAAAAAAATCGTAAAAAATAGCTTACATGAAAAAATACATGTAGAAATTGCATAGTATTTACAGGGCTCAAAGAACAAAAACGCCAAATTAATTACAGAATTATAGTGACGTCGACGCGAGTGCTACCATTTTGCACTGCCTTTCCACACCTTAACTCCGTTTTTGCCTGAAAATTTAATAGAATTTCGACATATTTTGCGAAAATACTGCCGTAAAAACGGTGCATCCAAACATGGACGATCTGTCAGCAGCCATGTTGTTTGTTGAAAGCCGCAAGGTCCAACGTCAGAATTTGCCATTAGAGCTGCCATTGGTTAAAAACGAAATTTTACATCTCGCGCATGCGCACGTTGAATTTAACTTTTCAAAAAAAAATTACATAGTTGCTTCATGAGTTCCTGAACTGTCAGCATTGGCAGGGCCTCTATATGTCCAGTAACTATATAGTCTTGGGACAATAAGTGCCTTGATTTAACGTCATCGGTGGTAGACGAGCTTTATTTCCGATTAATTCAGCACTGTCGACAATCAAGCCCCGGCTACGGCTGACTCGTAATTTTCGTGTTTTAAGCAGTTCCGTACTCGCGAAGCTCCGAGTCGGAGCCGCGGCCCTCTAGATAGGACGCGATCGTTTCGATATAGCCGCCGAATGGTTTCCCGGATCCAGGGCGGCTTTGCGCGCGAGTGACACATCAAACGAGCGACCGGCCGCGTCGTTTGGTGTTGACAGATGTGTGACGTGTGTTGTTGTCGCTGCGGATTCCGATTTTATCGACGACGGTGACGATTATTGGGATGCGAGGGAGCCAACATGGCAGAGATAATTGGAGACGCGGTACGGAAGTGACTCGGGCGGCAATTTCGAAATTTATAAGCGCAAACCAAGAGAAACGATTAAATTTATATGTATTGCGAAAAATTAGGGAAATGATTGTGGTCAATCTAGCGCCGAACAAGGATGGGTCAAAATTCGTTTAAATTTGAATGCCGACTGTTTATGAAAATAATATCACAGCTTAAACTTTTTGTGAATTTTTCCTGCCTTCGGGCACTGCATCCGTCTTGCTGACGTTTCGCTAAAGACGCGTCTACCTTCTTCAGAGTGCTGTCTGAAACTGAGGGTCGATTGGTTTGCGCGTACGTTAAATCACTGCCAATGACAGTGGGGAGGGGGATTTAATTGCTTCACGTATGACCGAATCTCAACCTCTTTCTTGAATAGATGATGTTCAGAAACTGCTGATGTCGTTGTTTGTCGAAGTCCCACTGATCTCCTTTTAGCTGCACGATATACTACACACATCTGTTGCTTCGAGAGCAATCATCTTATGTTTAACCGATCGTAGATGTTGCGACATTTTGTAACGTTTTTTCAAAATTTTTTTTTATGTGTGCCTATTACGGGCTCAATTTGCTCAAGCGCGTCTATTGAAGTGTATTGTTTGCTCGAACGTATGATATCTTGATGTGAAATGTGTTCATTCTTGGCTAAGGGATTCGGATTGAAACAGTTAAAGCCAGAAGGAGTCAGCTGTTTATAAATGGCTAAAGTTAAAAGTGTTGTGGCGTTTAGACTCCTTAGACTCATTTCGCTACGATGACTTCCTTTACCAGTCTGTTGAGATGATCGTTGACTGATGCTAGCACACTTTGGCAGCTGTACGCTGGCAAAGAAAGCCTCTCATGCAACCACCTAAAACGAGCATCTGACACTATTTATAAAATAAAATATGGTATATAAATTACATAGACATTCATTCAAAATGGTAGAGTTAAATTGTGAAAAAAAACATTTTTAATAATTTTAACACTGCTAGAGTGAAGTCAAAAAAGAAATACATATATACAATTTGATAGGTACTAGTTTTATGATCGGTCTCTATTATGATATAGGTATTGTTTAAGTTTTTGTTTGAATGAAGTTAGTGAGGTGATTGATCTCAGTTGGAGAGGGAGTTTGTTGTAAGCCTTGATAGCATTATACGTGAAACTGCGCTGGACCTATGCCGAAGTACGTTTGGGAACGGTAAACAGCCCCCTGTGACGAGTATTAACCGAATGAATATCTGATCCACATGTAAGTTTGTCAGAAAGATACGTCGGGCGTTGGAGAGATATTACTTTTTAATTAAGACTAAAAACTGCGGTTTAAAACGTTCGTCTAATGTTAGTCAGCGAGAATCCTCTAGGCTAGTAGATATGTGATCAAATTTACGAATGTTGTATGAGATTCTGAGACAGGCATTCTGAAGACGCTGAAGACTAATTGAACTGAGGTGGCTTATTTATCAAAATAAATAAGAACTAAAAGTTCAGATTTTCACGACAAATGTATTTGACATTTGATAAAGACACGGTGTTATCGAAACAATTGTCATGTCATAATATATAATTTCGTGAAAATCTGAACTTTTAGTTCTTGTTTATTTTGCTGAACCTTGTCCTTTTTAAATAGGGCGGGCCAGTAAACAACTGCTCGGAATATCTTTATTACAGTAGTTAATCCGAAGCTTCTAAAACGATTTCTGGATTAATGCAGACCCATTACATTCTGCAACCGGCCGTAAGAGAAAGTCATTTAAGTAAATTTTGGCAGCATCTAGACTAATTATTTTTCCTTTCATCATGCGGTTGAGAGGTTTTAGGAACAGGAGTGTAGCGTATTTCCAGGGTTTAGGGAATTTGTTAGTAGATAAACACTTATTAAAAATATACGTAATATGCGGCAAATGTTGGGGGATAACGTGCAATATCATCTTTAATTTGATGTATTATTATTCCTACTTTGTTAGGGTTGACATTAAAAAATGAAAGTTTTTCTGGATTTATTTAAGTCTGTTTCATGGGTATTATTATAAAAGTATTGATTAAGTTCATTAACATTCGCAATATTTGAGACATCTGTATTTAGTGAAGGTCCGGAGTAGACATTAAAATATCTAAGTATACGCCGGAAGTTTTTTGGATGCGTAAGAAACTTGTGTTGTAAAAAAGCCTTTTTCTTCGGCTTAACATTCATATTTACAAGATTTCTCAACTCCCTGTATTCAATCCAGGATTGTTCGGTTTTCTGTTTCTTATATTTAGACATGTTTCAATTTTATCATTATTTTTAAGTTTTCCGGGAGCCAAGGAGCTGGCGGTTTTGTTATCTTCGCAGTTTTTAAAGGAGCATGCAAGCTGAACACCTCCAGTAAGTTAGTATTAAAAACTTCACCACTTTATCAACGTCAGTTAGTTCGAATATTTCATCCCAATTAATATTATTTAAATCAAACAGAAGTGGGATTAGCACTTTTAGGTAACATTCGGACAGTGAAAGTGACTATAATAATCGCGATTAGTGCAGGGGTAAATAAATGCGTTACTGTTCGATCTATGAACTGCAATTGTGGATTTATGGCCTCTCGAAAGAAGAAGAGAAAAAAAATGGGATTCAGTCTTTGCAAAAAGAGTAGATTTATGGGAGTCATGAGGAATATTTTGTCACTTAAAATTTTTGCTGTTTTGTTGCTATGCTATGTTGGACGGTTGACTAGGCAAACGATTGGCTCTATTTCCTTCCGGTCGTCATATTGGATCGAAGCGCTAATCTTTGTCGTTACCCTATAGTACTGAAATTTTCTATAAACGGCCTTCGAAATATTAGGCACGGACAAGTGGTGGGCATAAAGCAGTTTGATATTATAATAGTTTAAAATGTGACAAGTTGTTCCATGTTTCGCTCCATCTTCGGCCGAATAGCTAAGAACCGTCTCACTGGTTCTTTGAAGCTTCAATTTGGCGAGATCTTTCCTTTTTAGTTAGCACGGATTCAGATTGTTTTTTTTTTTAAGAAATTATTGCATGTAAATATGATGGCCAATGACTGAACGACTTTGAGGGATGCAATAAGCAGATGATGCGTTTTGATGGAATTTAGCAAATTTTATTATTTATGACTGATCGACTTTATGACGACCGATATTATATTAGAACAAAGATTTAATCAAATTGGGTATCGCTATTCGTTTTTGGTTTAAATGATCTATGCTTTAATTGGGAATTAAATGTCCTAGTTTAAAAAAAGAATGTTATATTTTTTTATGGATACGGATTTACATGACAGTAAAAAATTTAATTCATTTATAGTTCAATTAATAAATAATTTTCGTATCAGGAGTTCTACTTATTACCGAAAACTCGGGTAGCTTGGAAATTTGCTTAAAAAAAAGACAGGCGCACCGATTGATGGCGGTAGTGGAAATTGACCATTTTCGCAAAATTGATTGACTTACAGCAAATATAATAAGAAATGGTTGTAAATTCTAAACCACTTAACATTATTCAAACCATCGAATTACAGAAAGACTGGCAGGTAGTATGTAACTCAACGATCCGAAGAGGCCCTTTTAAAAGTTATTGTGACCATAAATGGCAATGAACTTGTTCCCATTGAAACAAAACAACAATATTTTTTTCAATACAATGGAAAGAAATATTTTTTTTTACTTTTATTTTATCTCATTCATGACATTCGGAACTTGGAGAAGGTTTTATAAAAAAATTATAAACGCTATTAGTTATGTATAGTGCAATTGAAAAAATGTTTTGTTAATTGTTTATTTTGGACGACAAAAGTATCTCACCTCAGGTATACCATTTGCATTGGCATTTCCAATAAATAAAGTAGCAAACGTGATACCATAGAATACGCCTCTGTAATCATAGATGCATTTACCAAATTTTAATTGTTATATGTTCTTGAATTGCCGAAGTAGTTTGTGTTTAAACAATCTAACAATTTGTTTGGTGCTCTTTCTGGCATCAGACGTGGAAGTGGTTTTCTAACAGTGAATTGCAACTATTTTGTAGCGAAATATAATCTTGAATTGTATTTTTTTGCTTGTGGCACTACTAGTGGCTAACGGACAAGCACAGAATTATGCAAATCTTCAATTATCACTTAAGTGCACAAAACATGAGCTTATTGCACAATTTTTATTCGGCAGATCAGTTTACTCTTTGGAATTACAAACATTGTTACACTAATAATACTGCGGTGAAATCTCCTTCACTCTCTGAAAGTTGTTGATTTAGCAAGTAAAAATATCGATAAGATGGCAAAAAAAAGAAAATCAAAATAAAAATAAAAGAAAAGTTGGAAGAAGCTACTGTAAAGTCCTTTTCAGTCGGCAATTTCGTATATTGTAAAACAATTTTAAAAATGGTCGTTGTCAAGTTATTGACATAGTTCAAAAGTACGTTTTTTGAATGTGCTTATGATCAGCTTATTCGTGTGCCTGATGAGGTAAAGCGGAATAAGGACATGAAAAATGAGTAACGGAATGAGCCTGTGTCGACGAATGCTTAAAAGAAATAGGTAATATTTCGATAGACGAAATTCAATCCGTCCTGGCTAAACTAAGTAAAAATAATTTCGGATTATTTATTTTTTTATTATTTATCTGGGACATTGCAGCATTTTGGTGGTTTGTTTGGCGGAGGCCAAGCAAGGATTGGTGGCATGGATTTCTGTTATTTTACTTAATAGGGCCTATGTGGTGGAGGCATATGTTCGCCTAGTGTTGTTTACCCAGTAAGTTACTGGAGATGTGTTGTTGCCTGGTTGGTTTACGTGAAGGTATGTCCGAAAGTGATTGTTGCGATAAGCATTGCTTGATTGGAGAGGCGTGTGTCGTCGAAGGTGGTTATCCCGATAAGCATTGCGTTATTGCACGGGCGTGTTTCGCCAAAGCTAGAGGCCCGGTGTTGCCTAGTTTAGTTAAGATGTGTCTTACTGGAGGTGTGTTGTTGGCTGATTAGGTTTACATGAAGGTAAACAGTGTGACCCAG